ACACACAACATCCAGTCCACATTATCCTCAAGCCAATGGCGCAGCGGAAAGGGGCGTTGCTACTGCAAAAAGAATTTTGCGCCAATCTGATCCTTCTTTGGCTCTAATGAGTTATCGAGCTACACCAATCTCTGCTACAGGTTTGAGCCCTGCTCAACTAATGACTGGCCGACAGTTGAGAACGACAGTTCCCATCTTGCCTGAACTCCTGAATATACGTCCCGTGGATCAGGAAGCTGTCAGACAGAAAGATCAACAGATGAAAGCAGCTTATCGCTTCTTTTATAACAGGCGACACTCTACAAAACCACTACCTGAGCTACGGACGGGCCAGAGCATCAACATCAAACACGATGGAGAGAAGGATGGAAAACTCCTGCTACAGTAGTTGCTAAGGCTCCAGAACCTAGATCTTATTATGTGCAAACAGAGCAAGGCATGCTTGCCCGCAGAAACAGGAGGCACATCCTGGAAGTGCCTGATGCGCTGGTGTCACCTACAGCAGTAGAGACTAGTGACTTAACCTCTGGTCCCGTTACTACAGATGCAACACCTGCTGTATCTCTCAGTCCGAGATCCACTCCAAAAAGAACCTTAGCTGGGCGAATGGTCAAAACCCCAGTCCGGTTCAAAGACTATGTTACTGAATGAAAAAAAAACAAAAAACAAAAGTGGACAAGAGAGAGAGAAGAGAAGGTGTGAAGTGTAACTTTGTTCTGTTCAGTTGGAAATGTGTTGTTTAATATGTTTAGTGCATTCAGATAGTTACTTGCCACCCTCTTATTTCAGAGTAAACCAAAAGTAAATGTTGATTGACAATTTAAAAGGGGGAGATGTGATGATATTTAGCTGTAATGATTGTGTAGGCCCACAGGGTGTCACTGTGGGCTGGTATATGCTTGAATAGCAAGGTACGCGAAAAAGCCCATGTTAGTGAGTTGTTGAAACCGTGCTCCGAATGGATGTTCAAATAAAACCCTTCACGAAGTCACAAATGAAAGTCTCTGTGAGCTTCATGACACCGACCTCGAGCGTCCTGCAGCTGTCCCTGGGCCCAGACAGGACCGTTAATGACGTCACCCCCGCCGAACGCCGGACGTTTATAAAAAAAACTTTTAGTAACTTTATTTCACGCTTTAAGAATGATCGTATCTCTTTGAAATGTGTTTACTTGAAAATGGCACAACTGTACATGTAATAATACAGATAATTTCTAAAATTATTTCTCTTTCTAATAAGTGAGATTGTTTTTATTTAGCTCGAAATGTAAATATAACTTTCAACAGTTTATCTTACTTGACCTGTGTCAGTGAAATTTACCACTAAGATAATCAATAATTTAAATTAACAAATAAGGATAACTTACTAAAAGATGTACACCACCCTTCACTGGAAGGGAAAGGCAGCACACACCTGCTGTCCAAACCGGCCACATGCTCTCGTCCTGCCGCAGGTTTGCAGCGGAGGTCCAGGGGTGCTTCCGCGACCTCCGACAGACCAACGTCTCCATCCGTGGCCGAGAACGCACAAGCCCCTTCATCTGCTGGGTTCCTTAGGCTGACAGCGGTGTGGTCGCAGGGTCGCTGCTGCTTATTTTGGGATTTAATCCTTATCACTGCATTCTCAGCTCTCTTCAGGTTTCGCTGGAGGGTGGCGATCCGAGTCCGCTCTGTGACGAGATTGCACTTGCAGCAGCCACATTTGAGGAAAGGGCAGCGCTTCATGTGGCCCTTTTGCGGGACAATAATCCCATGATAACGGCACCGGGTGCATTTCGGCTGTCGGGGTTTTTCGGCGGCGGATACCATGATTTGTTTAGATAAGGGCATTTTAGAAATGCCCGTCTCTAAATCACCAGAGGCCTCCCCAGCTAGGCCCAGCCCCAACTTTGTATAAAATGTATCATTTTGAGGCGTGGGAAAAGTGATTTGGCCATTATTATTGGCAGACTGTCGAAGAGCAATAACAACAATTAATTGGGGCATAACTAAGCCAATCACAGGCTGGAGCGGAACGTGGGCGGGTCCTAAATGCGCTCAGCCTGAGTCTGGGCACATTTAGGCCCAGCTCACGTTCCGCTCCATTTGGTGGAGTCTTTGACAATCGTTTTTACAAAAAAAAAAAAAAAAAAAGAAACATGCCTAAAACATAGGTAAAAGCACACCTTCGAGTTTTATCAAACTCCTATATTTGGCAGCGGATTAATTTAGGTTGATAATAACGGGGAAAGAACTGATTTGTTGTCAAAGCAAATTACAGTCTGAGGCGCAGCGGTCGGGGCTCATACACCACTGTGCACACATACAGTATGCATGTCGTGTTGGCCAAACTCAGCTTGCTGTGTGGTTAAGATTCACTGCATTGCTAAAGTTATCACGTCATAATATGAACAATACAGTTATGATGTAAGATCATATTTATTATGTAGCACGCTAATGTTTATCTGTGGGTCTAAAAATGCAACTTAATGTGGCACACAGGCCAAAAAATGTCTAAGTGGGGGAATTCCCTGAGTAAAGACTGCAGGCTATACACAGTATAGCATGTCATCTACAATAGTGATCTTTACAATATATGCCAAGGAAGAGACCGACGCAGTTTGTTTTTCAATCAGTCTTACTCTACTGTTCATTATACTATATTTTACTTTTCATTTCATACTTTTGCATTTCAGTAAGAAATAGGCTAATGTACTTTTTTAGTTAACTATATTTTGGGGCATATAGTTATTTGACATAATTACTTACAAATTTAGAATTTTAAAACTTCTCCCACCAGCAACCACTTAATTTTTAAAAAAATACCCAAACTACCTGCATTCAAACCCATCAGCGGATGGCTGCAGTCACACTGTACAGCCACTAGATGTCAGTCTTCAGCTATTCAAGACCATTAGGCCTCTAAAGTGGCAGATAATCATTTACATACCCTGATATGAACTTTCTGTGATATGCTAAGTACAGAATACAATCAACCTTTTAAACCTTTAAAAATACAAAGAAAGGCATAGAGCTTCATAGGCAAAAATAATGCTCTGATAGTACAGAAAGAATAATGGCAGTATGTTAAAATACAGTCTCAATAACAGTCACCTGGACAGTAAAAGGTGCAGCAGCCATGCTCAAAAACACCTTTAACTGAATGAATTACATTTGTGCTGTTAGGAGTGCCTATATTGGCCATGGCTAACTGAAAGATTAAAGACTGATAAGTCCTGCATATTCAAAGCTGTAAGTTAGTTTTGACTTCTAGATAAACACTCAACATTTGACTATAGAACCTGGAAATATAGCAAACTGCTACAAGACATCTGTTTTAATTAAAAATGAATCTGATCTAATCTTAAAATATATTTTCATTAGATTAACATTCAATGGGTTCTGCCAAAATATTAGTAAACGAGAAAAGCCCCCCACATCATTTGCATGTTTATTTACATAGTATAGGGTGCTACAACAAAAGACCTTGTCACCATTTTATTATAAATACACCATTTTAAACAAGGCTTGCTAACCCTCATTAAAATACATTCTTCAAACCTTTTAAAACATAAGAAACCTAATGTTTTAATAGATGCAACTATTGCATTTTTGCACCTTTAAATGTCAGTAAAACATGCAAAGCAGAAATATAGAGTATGAAAATAAAACATTATAGATCAAATGTGTTGCTTTACAAAGGAGATCTTAAATCAAAAAATTATATATTGTATGGTGGAAAATACAAATACTGGGTCTGGTGGCAAAGCTTAAAGATTTTTCCCAAAAATGTTAATGTCTTTCAGCAATAGTGTTCTATGTAATCATCAATATAAAGTACATACATTCCATTACCTGTCTGTGAAGGGAAAACATATTCAAATAATGTCAATCTTAGCTATTAAGCATTCTAACCATACATTCAGCCATGTGTGACTGCACACTGAAATGAACTATTAACTGTTTTTAAGATAGATTGTGACATAGTTGGACTGTAAAAAGGCTTACCTGATAACACAGTAATCATAGCATAGCATTGCTCTTTCACTCATGCATCAGTCAGTTTACAGTATAACTGCACCATCTTATAATATTAAACATCCCAGTAAAGTGTTTAACAGTGTACTGCAGGCACTTACAAAGCATGATTTAGGCCTTTAAATGAGTTCAAGATTAGATGCAGGTTTCAGAATGGTCCATTACGAAGAATCTGAAGAAACACTGTATAAGCAAGTGTGTTATTGTACTCTTGCATAAAATCATTGATTACAGTGAAGGTCACAGTTCAAATTAATGCCACGAGTGCCTGGAAGACATCTGAGCAGAGCTGGAGACGAGATAACAGTGACGACAGTATCTGAAAAATTCAACACAGAATGAGAACATTAGGCTTAAAAACTCCACTGACATAAATATAACAAGAAACCACACTTAATTGCAAGATGATTAAATGTAATCTGTCTTTATGTACCTTTTTAAGTGTCCAGAAAAGCAGGGACTTGTATGTGTTGGTCTTGAGGTCGGATGTGTAAAATCCAGAGCTGACAGATGGTGTTAACTGTCATATTAGGCTATATATTCCTTCTGTTTATGGTAGCTTGCTTTTGTGGTTCATTTCCCAAGGGTAGCATGTTGCTGTAACTCCAGGTTTCATGACAGACAGTTGGGAGTGGAGCATAGTTGATATTGCCAGAGTATATGCGGCAGTGTAGCCCAGGAGAGTAAAGATCTTGATGCTTGTCATTTTTATAGGGGACAGTCATAGTGTTGTTCATCTTAAGGAGAATTATTCTGCTCTGTAGGGTGATTTCGTCTTTCTTTATCTAACTTTTGTTAGTATTCAGAAATATACAGATGTATAGAAAATGTGTTTGTACACCCAGTTTGGTTCTCTTTGATGGTTAGGCTAATGGTTATGAAGTTTCAGTTATAGTGTAACATACAATATTGAAAGTATGAATTCATGTATGTCAAATGGTTTACAACCAAAAATTAGAATGTACACAAAATGTTTTCAGATATTAAAAATAATAAACAACTTGTGTATGCTTACAGGAAAGTAATTGCAAGGTCTGATTAGATAGCATAAACATGACTAAAAGTAAAAGAAATATACAAAAATGATTTAACTTGTATAAAATTAAATATTAAAAGTCTTGTAACAACCACATGCAGAGCAGAATAAATGTAGTCTTTATTCCACTGAGAATTAGACATTTGGTGAGCACTGTGGTTTTAGGCCTATAATGTAACCTTTACTCAGAAAATCATTCTTTAACTTTAAGGCTCCTCAGTATCGGCGGACAAAGCTTTGTGAACTGTAGGAAGAGGCGGCGAAGGTTGTTGTAAAACTTGATCCTGTGGCATCAAAGCTGCCTCTTCTGGAGCCTGACCTGGATCCAGGTCTTGAGCCAGACCGTGACCCAGTAGCAGAACCTGATCCACTGATGCTATAGGGACTGTAGAGACCTTTGCTGGACTGAGATGATGCTTCAAGTAGTCGTAGACCAGTCCCCTCCTCTATCATGCTTCTTTCCATAGCATCCTTGTAGGAGATTTTAAGCTTGGTTTTAGGGCATGTGAGGTATTTTGAGTATGCGCTAACATCTCGTAACTTCTGTGCAGTGCGTGCATCTAAGGTGCCGTTCTTCACAGCCTCATCTATAGAGACTCTGCTGGTAGCATCTGGTTCAATCAATCCCCCAGTGAGATACTGGACCTCCAGGAATCGCTGTCCAGCCTCATAGTACAACCACCCTTTCTTTAGGGCTTGGGCTGCTGACATTTTGGTTTTGGTTCTGGGATCTTCAAATCCATTGTAGGCCTTCTGTGCTAGAGTGATGCGGTCTACCATGATTTTATCCACAAGCCCTTTGTTCAGTGCATCTGCAACAGAGAATTTCTCTCCGGTATTTGGGTCGATGATGCCTCCTGTACAGGCCTGAGCTTCCAGCAATCTTTGACCCGTTATGTTGTCCACAAGGTTTCTGTGAATGGCCTCTGTGACAGATACCTTCTCCAGTGTATCTGTATCTAAGATTCCAGCCACAGGGCCAGTTTCCTCTGTTGGGTCACTCCAGGTGGTTGCTGGTGGTTTTATAGATGGTATTGGGCTCATGGTGTAGGAGGAGGAGGAGCCAAAGGAGGATGAGCGTGATCTGACACCACTTGTATTTCCAGACAGCATGTCTGCAAACTCTGTGATGGACAGAGTTCCTGCTCTGTATTGATCCAGAGCTGATTGGTCAATTAGGCCCCGTGAAATTGCATCATCAATATCATACTGCCGACCGGACCTTCTGTCGGTGATCATGGATTTCACAACTCCATCAGATGAGGTGATGGTAATTTCCTCCCATTCACACTCTTGTTCTGACAGCTCTAGATATGTCTGGTGATCAATAAGCCCTTTCTGATATGCTTCATAAACAGACATCTCTTTGCCTGTCTCTGGATCAACGATGACAACCCTACGTTTGCGAACAGAAGACTTGGATGATGTCTTCCTCTCACGCTTCTTTTCTTTCAGCAGCAGAAGTGCAAGTCCTGTTTCTGGGTCTATCATACACCTCTCCATCAGTTGCAAATAAGTGAGATTTTCCTCAGTGTTGGGGTCAAAGAAGCCCTTTGTATCATCAGATGGGTCAGTGAGAATTTCATTCATTTCCTTGTCAAAGAGGCCGCGTTTATATGCTGTTTCAACTGGCAAGCGGTGGCTCTCCTGTGGATCAATGATTCCACCAGTAGCAATCTGAGCCTCTAACAGACGGATGCCATGGTCTTTCAGAATGAGACCCTTTTTCATAGCCTGAAATAGTGAGATGATCTTGCCAGAATAAGGATCCTTGTAGCCTGTGACAGCTCGTTCAGCTGAGAGGAGTTTGTCTTTAAACTCTGGGCCAACAACACCCATTCTGACAGCTTCAGTGACATTTAGTTTCAGATTCTTAATAGGATCAATTACATAGCCTGTGGCAGCTTGAGCCTCAAGAAGC